AAGTTGGCAAAGACTCCAATGTCCTCATTAGCGTCTATTGGCTCTAATACAACTGGCGCTGATGTGAATGCAACTCTGTATCGAGGAATGATAGGTTCAATACTCTATTTTACTGCCAATCGTCCAGACATTATGTTTGGTACCATATTGTGTGCTCGTTATCATGCCAGTCCTAAGGAATCTCATCTTCTCGCTGTAAAAAGAATTTTTCGTTACTTAAAGCATACACCCAATCTTGCATTATGGTATCATCGCGATTCTGAGTTCAAGCTGGTGGGATACACTGATTCCGATCATGGTGGATGTGGCATTGATCGTAAAAGTACTTCAGGAGGGGCTCAAATGCTTGGAGATAGATTGGTGAGCTGGTCCAGCAAGAAGCAAACATCAATGGCTTGATGTACCGCTGAAGTTGAATATATAGTCGCTGGAAGGTGTTGCACTTAGATTCTATGGATTCAAAATCAACTCTTAGATTATGGTCTAAACTTCTCAAAGACTCTTATCTGCTGTGACAACACCAGTGCCATTCATATGATATAGTGGCCAGTGCGTTATTCCAAAACCAAGCACATTGATATCTGTCATCACTTCATCATAGACATCGTTCAAAAAGGAAAAGTGGAGCTCTTCTACATCCCTTCCATTGATCATCTGGCTGACATTTTCACTAAGGCATTGGACGAGAAGACTCTAAACAAATTAATCGTAGATGTTGGCATGCTTTCATTGAGTTAACTGTTTTCTAACTTATTTGAATTAACATTGCTGATGCTTGCTTTATAAAAACACAAAAACACAAAAACAAGTGCTACTTTTATTATGATAAAATATCTTTACATAGTTTTCTTAAGCTTTGATTCTAATGTTTACAAGTATTCTCTTTTCTCTCTTTGATCTATTTTCAGGCCTATCTAAGATTTATCTACACCTCTTCCTTTTAGAGTTAGTAAGAAATGGAGTCATCCAAATTTTTTTGAATGCTCTAGTTATTGAGAAGAATATTGGCATCATGTCCTCTTCTTGTTGATAATGCCCTCTTTCTCCTCCACTCACTGTTATGGAGGCAAGTAGCAACCATCAATGCAATGAGTCTTGTTTTCATCTACTGACTTATAATCCGATAAAACCTCGAATGCTATCGTGTTGATCTTGTCAACACGATGGTTTCATGGATTTGATCCAGTTAACTCGTTGGTTACAAAGACTATTTTCTGCTCCTCACTTGCTCTTAATGAACATGAATCTTGGAATCCATCTGCAACATATGATCGATTAATGGACTCATCATTGTTGGTTTGTAGTAAGTTGTATTGTAATGTATTTTCTCTTGCTTATGTTTTCTTTTATACCCAGTCTTGAAGGATGGACATCTCGAAGAAAGGAAATTAATTAATGAGTATGAATTTCAAAAGATTTCTCTTTTGTGGTTCCACACAAAAGATTTTCTGCCTTTATGATTCTTCTGAAAAGGCTACGTAGAGAGCTTCTGAAAAAGTTGTATATTCCTTTTTAACTATTCTTTTTTGTTGACTTTTTCTTATGCTTTTATTTCCTTGTCCAATTTTTCTTGTACCATATTAAAAGCATTGGTGGTGAACTTTAAAGTTCTATACTGCAACTTAACTTTATGATACGTAAGTTAAACCACTTCTTGTTTATTAGTTAACACCATTTATGATTCACGCTGATTCCACCTCAACGTGACTGAAACAATCCATTATTTCCTTAACTTCTTCGTAATAAAACTTTACGATTCAATGTGATATACTACACACTAATAAAATTTGGAAATGTTGTGTCGTTGGTTAGTCTATGTACCATAGACTATCACACGCACCAACCCCTTCTTTCCCTTACATTATTATTTAAAAGCTATATGATTCAGCGTAATGTACCATATGATGATGAGAGCTTGAAAAATCTATGCTGATCGTTAAGCCAAAACACCACATCTTACCACACACATCAATCCATTCTCTCCATATATTCTTCCTTAGAATTTTATGATCCAACGTATGTAGCTAGACGCTAATGAGAATTCAAAAATTATGTGTCGATGGGTATATCATTGTCTGTGATGTATTACACGCACCTACCAATTCTTTCCCAACAATTCTTCTATTAAGAAGTTAATGATTCACTGTATTAGCCATACACTAATAGAACTTCAACAATCTTTTCCATTGCTTACATTTCATACTGGAATGTATTACACGTATCATACCACTATTGCCCCTTTCTTCTAATAAAAGTGATTAATGAGCCAGCATATGAAACCATACGCTGATAAAATCTTGAAATAATATGTTAGTGAATGGTAATTCAAACCTATGCTATCAGGAGACTGAAGTGTTTTGAGCATTACATCATTCCTATGGTGCACATGCAACCCTAATGCTTTGGATCTAGGTTTTTCTCAAGTTATCATGCAATATTAAATCATCCAAAGCTTGAACCCTAACTAGCATACAATTTCGAGATTTACAACGTAAAAACAAGTTAGAAGAATACCTCTTTGTTGTAGCTTGTAGATCTATGCCTTCAAGAGCTTAGTACCTCAAGTGTGGTACCTCTAATAAGTCACAAACACCAAAAGCAATGGAGGATTATGAGAGAGAAGTTAGGAGGCACCAAAATCGGCTAGGGTATTCTCTTAGAAGCATATGGCCGATTTTGGGAGTGCTATGGGGTCCTTATATAGCTGAGCTGCTAGGGTATCAGTCAAAACCCTAATCTGATTGCTTAAGCCTTAAGTAGTCCAGTGGATCCTTCTAAAAGTCCCCTATGTACGAATTCTTCTATGGGCTTCCATAGAATTCGTCCATCCCTTCTATTAGGAGTCCATAACCCATCTTGCAATTAACAGTTAATTACAATATCAGTCCCCGTAATTTAATTAGTCTCTTTTGATCACTAAATTAATTCTTGATCAATACTAATTAAATAATATGATTTCTCAATATATTATTCTCATAATATATTAATAAATCACAAATAACCTCTTTTCCCATAATTCATCTAGTCAAATTGTTTTGATGAAGGCAACCCAAAAGGACCATGCTACTATCGGGTGGAGTACATACCAATTATAGTTATGGGCTTAGACAACTAATCCAACAGAGACATCACAAACTTACTCGTTTACAAGCTACAAATCCGATACATTGATCGCTTCCTCCAGTCTTATATTTGATGCTGATGTCAAAAAGGGGAGAAACTTGCTAAACTTGCTAAATGTGAGAAGCTACTAACTGTTATTGATCTAAAGAGAAGCAAAATCTAAGGGGAGCCAAACCGATAGCTGATATCAACATTCTATCAGCTCATCATCCATCCATCTGCTGATAATCAAAAATAGGAAGAGTCATACACTTTCTCAGGGGGGGGGGGATTCGTTATAGCTGAAGAAATTAAAGTTTCAATCTTACTCTCAGGGGAGCACTTCTTCTTAATAAAACTTTACGATTCACTGTGATATACTACACACTAATAAAATTTTGAAATGATGTGTTGATGGTTAGTCTATGTACCGTAGACTATCACACGTACCAACCCATTCTTGCCCTTACATTATGCTTTAAAAGCTTTATGATTCAACGTAATGTAGTACCATACGACGATGAGAGCTTGAAAAATCTATGTCGATGATTAAGCTAAAACACCACATCTTATCACATGCATCAATCCATTCTATCCATATATTTTTATTTAGAATTTTATGATTCAGCGTATGTAGCCAGACGTTGATGAGAATTCAAAAATTCTGTGCCGATGGGTATATCATTGTCTGTGATGTCTTACACACACTACCCATTATTTCCCAACAATTCTTATGTTAAGAAGTTAATGATTCACTGTATTATCCATACACTAATAAAACTTCGATAATCTTTGTCGATGGGTACATTTCATACTAGAATGTATTACACATATCATACAACTCTTGCCCCTTTCTTCTAATAAAAGTGAATAATGAGTCAACGTATGAAACCACACACTGATGAAATCTCGAAATACTATGTAAGTGAATGGTAGTTCAAACCTATTCTATCAGGAGACATCACAAACTTACTGGGTTACAAGCTGCAACTCTGATACACTGATCGCTTCCTCCAGTCTTATATTTGTTGATGATGTCAAAAAGGGGGAGAAACTTGCTAAACTAGCTAAATGTGAGAAACTACTAAGTGTTATTGATCTGAAGAGAAGCAAAAGCTATGGAGGAGCCAAGCCGATAGCTGATATTAACATTCTATTAGCTCATCATCCATGCATCTGCTGATAATAAAAAATGGGAAGAGTAATACACTTTCTAAGGGGTATCATTCGTTATAGCTGAAGAAATTAAATTTTCAATATTACTTTCAGGGGGAGCACGAGCTGAAGCATCTATTGAAGATAAGTTTTAACATCATCAGATATGGGGAGATTTTAAAGTCACGCGTTATGATCTGATAAGTCAAACAATCTATACGCTGACCGCCAGCGCCAACGCCAACATTAGCACCAACGTCAGCGCCTCGTGCCTTATCATAGTCAGCGTGTAGATAGTAATCTTTGTATATTAGGTAATTATACATATATGTATAAAATAGATAGAAGATCCAATATCTTGGTGATAAGGATTGGTTCTTAGTATAGATTAGATAAAATCCCTTTATTTAAAGGATATACTAGTAAAGTTTAGTATATATTCAACACACTACTAGAATATAGGCCTTTAATGACGCGCAAACCATGACACGCGGCGACTTATGATACGCAAAAGTGCGTTCCCTAAAAGGAATGTCATCTCCAAAAAATATATAAAGGATTTAGGATACGCGTTTTTGCGTGACCTAAAATTCGTGTCAGAAAAATAAAAATAAAAACACGGAGGGCACCCATTAAAAAAAAGCGCCTCGTGCAGACATGTGGCTTTATGATTCTTAAAATGAACGTGCGCTGACTATTTACTTATAAAAAAATCGCAGGGGATCTAGGCCTTTTTTAAAAGGATGCTCTCTACAAGGTTCGCTACATCTGCCTCACTTCCGCTCATCTCTGCTCACCTCTTCCCCCCCCCCCCCCCCCCCCCTCTCCCAAATTCAGCTGCTTCCAATTTGGGGGTTATTACCACAATTCCTTTCGATTGCTCTCCGATTAAACGATTTATTGCCGACTGCGAAGCCTCCACAAAGCCCTACCTCGACTCCATCACCATCTACTTCTTCCCAACGGAGACCTGATTTTACTCCATCGTCGTCTACTTTTCCCTCTGTCGCCATCCTTCTCTCTCGACCTGCCTCCTTTGCTGCTTGTGACTCTTAGGAGACGTTTTTTACCTGCTTTGGTGATCATCAGAGAGAGAGCCACCGGAAGAACCACCGACCTTAAGAAAACCGAGTTTCCTAAAGTTGCTGAGCTAATTTTAAATATTTTTTTGGTGTTTTCGCGAATAAGGAGATTTGGGCCAGTTTTGCAAAATTCCCGCTCCAATTGTACCTTATACCATTCAACGTCTTTTTCCCAGTTGAAGTTGAAGACGAACATTGAAATCGATCTGTTTAGAGTTACCATTCTCTTTTTCCAAGTTTGACGCTATCAATCTGGTTCGTTTTTCTTCAGCAAACGTAATTATGGAAAAAAAATTACAGTGAATGATGAAGCTGTTTCAATGTAAGTTATCAGGCCAATTTCTTGTATTAAACAATAATCGATGGATAAAGTTCTTTCAGATTGTATGTGGCTCAAATGGACATTTGTTCACTTGTAGGGTTTTAAAGATATTGGCTTCTTTACTTTCACCTACAACATTTGCTTTAGGGTCAGTCAATTTTGCTGATTATGAGCGTGCACACGTTGGACTCCGCTGGAGCAAAATTTGGAGGGTAAGTTCTCCTATTTTAATTCAATTCCCAACTCTAAAATATCTCTGAATTGATTAGGTTTTTACCCTGTAGGCATCTTCTGGAGTGTGCTTTCTAATCTGTCTCATAATGATAGTGTTCGACTCTATGAGGTACTTTGCAATTGGCCTCTATCTGGATAAGGTATAGTTTCCCTTTTGTCACTGCCTTCCTTCTTTTGGATCCTAAAAAGGTGGACCTTTATTGCTTTCTTCATTCTATTGGGTCCTAAATATAGATATTGGGCTAGTTTTTAACATTTACTTATCAGGTTCTTCATAAGTAGAATGGAGTGGTGTACCCATGGAACATCATCTTCCCAAAAGGCCTTTGGAGAAAGAGAAATACAAGTAAACAATATGGTTCTAGTTTAGAAGTTAACAGTGATAATAAAGAGAAGTGCACTTCTTCTCGGCCAACAATGGAAGCGATAAGCTTAGAAATGAAGCAGCAAGAGTTGGACGGAAGGTGGGATATCATAGATATGAACTCCTAAGTATGTAGCTTGCATTTCTACATGCTCTTTGTGGGAATAAGATTTCTTACATCCATGTCCATTGTTGCAGATGCATCCAAATTAGGAATCTGCACAAGGTGTATAATAGCAACAAGGGGAAGTGTTGTGCTGTTGATTCTTTATATCTTACATTATATGAAAACCAAATACTTGCACTTCTAGGTACAACTCATCTTACATGATATATAGATATCTATGTGTAGGTTTACTCCTTAATTTTTTCTTCCAAATTATTTTATGGGTTGATGCTTGAGAGCAGTAATATTTTTCTTTTTATTCAAATATTTTTATTGAAATCTTTTTGTGTATCTTCTTTCAGACTTCACCTGGGGCCTCCACAGCTGCTGATATTGTCTACAGACATATTTCATCAGCAACATGCGTGAGCGAAGTAATTTCTCAGATTTTACTTAAATTTTACAGCATGAGCTTGTATGGTTGCTTATTTGGACTCTTTTGATCTGTTGCTTCAGGTTGGCACATCCTGATCAACCCTCCATAACCTTCACAACTTCCAAATTTAATCCACTACTTAGCGGGGAAGGTGGTGGTGGTCCTATTCCTTTTGATCTTTCATTGCCTATTGCTAAACAAGTTTCACAATATATAGAAGGGGGTTGGATTCAAAAGTTTAAAGAAAGCAAATACACATTTCCTGATCCTAGTAAGGCATTGTAAGATGCTATTGAGGCAGCAGGGCCTACTTTGGGGTCAAAACTGCTTTCCATGAGTGAATACTTGATGTCCAACTTCAATGAATCTTATGAGTCAAGATATGGGGCCATTGTGATGGATCCTCAGAATGATGATGGTAGTATATGGTATTCGGTTCTTCCCAACAGCACTTGTCAGCATGCTGCTCCAACCTTTTTCAATTTAATGAATGCTGTAATTCTTAGGTTTGCTACACAAAATGAGAATATAACGATACAAACACGTAATCATCCACTGCCAATGACAGAAAGTCAATGCCTGCAACGTCAAGTATACATATACTTCCAATTATTCTTCTATTTATGCTCATATCTTATAATTTTGTCTAGGATAACATGCAATTAGAATATTGACACCTTTATATGTAGTGTGTATTTAAATAGTGATTTGTATGATCTTGTAGGACCTGGATGCATTCTCTGCAGCTATTGTTGCGAGTATTACCTTCTGTTTCGTTCCTGCTTCGTTTGTTGTTGCTATTGTGAAGGTATGCCACTCTCCAGTTGTCTTTTTCACATAATTGACCCAATTATTTTAACGCCCCTCAGTTAATCCAACAATAAACATTTTATGCAATACGCAAGGATTTATAACTTAGTGGTCATTTTGGGTAAACTAATTTGTAGTTAATGGGAATTTTTTTTCTTGTATTTTAACGTAATGCATGTCTTATGCAGGAGCATGAAGTAAAAGAGAAACATCAACAACTGATTAGTGGGGTAAACAAGCTTGTTTGTTTTATTTACTCTTTTCTTTTGTTAACACAACAATGTATAACCAATAAGTGCTTCATAGTTCGACCATTAACTGGTTATCATTAATAACACTCAGGTATCTATATTGTCACATTGGGTGTCAACATATATATGGGACTTCATAAGCTTCTTAGTCCATTCCTCATTTGCGATGATTCTCTTTTACATATTTGGTAAGTCTCCAAACTCACATTTTACATGCATTTTCCAAGGTATATTGTAAGTATTTACATCAGTAGTACCTGTATGTAGAAGCCTTTTTTTTGTAGGCTTAGAACAGTTTATTGGAAGTATTTTACATCTTTGATGAACTATGTTTAACATTGTTTTGTCTTTGTAGGCTTAGAACAGTTTATTGGAAGCGGTCTTGTATTCCCTACAGTTCTCATTCTGTTGGAATATGGTTTTGCAACTGCATCTTCAACATATTGCCTAACCTTTTTCTCAAGGTTGGAATGCATAGTAACTTGCCAATATAGATCTGCATTTTCATTAGTGAATTTGGGTTTTATGATATTTTAAACATATTGGACAAGAATTTCTTCAGATTATCTCTAGGATTTTGCTTTGCTGATGTACTAGCTTCACTAGCTTTGTTACGTCAAGGAATGAAAATCGGGTGAGTGAGGGATATTTTGGGTGGAATTTGACTGGTGGATCTATTTGTTATCTGGCTGTCTGATTTGAATTGAATCTATGAAAGTTGAATGTTTGATCAATGAAAATTGGGATAGATTGAAATCAACTTAGACATATTTTCTTTCTTTTTGACTGGGTGTCATTTTTTCCTTCTAACACTTGGGCTTGAATATTTCCTTCCCCACGAATTCAATGTATTTGGCATAAAGGACTTCATAAGAACTTTCAGAAGAAGCAGTCCTACTGATGAATTTTTTGAACCCTTCTGAGATCTTCCACAGAAAGTTTGTTTCTAACAAAACTGAAAAGAGGTTGAAGCATTACTTTAATTTTTAGGATTACTTGGAAACTCATTATCGTCTAACAGTTTCGACAACATTGATCTAACGAATTTGAAGCATGCCTACAGTGGTGGAGGGAAAACTAATAAATAAAGGTGAAGTTTGTTTCTAACTCAAGAGTTTTTTTGTTTTAGGTGACAATGGATCACAGGCCTCCACACCTCACACTTGGGATACCAGCTGCCTTCTAAAGGGTTGTACCTCTAACTTCTTACACTAACAAAAATCCAATCAAGATTTTGCTTGTTTAGTTTATTCTTTTTCTTAGGCATTCTTGACTTGTCTTGGCTTAAAGCATTGTTATCTTATCAGCAAGTAATTACTTTCCAGCCACGCCCGGTGGTGAGCCGCCCATGACACCAAGTTCAACATTTTTACGTGGTACACCAGGTGGAAAACCAATGACATGAAGGATCAGGTTATATAATTAGGGATGTAGTATCACGTTATATAGTTAGGGAAAACCCCTTAATAACAATGTACTATCATATTAATATCAATGTATTTCAATTTTTGATAACTTGTTTGGCATGATGTTATTGGATGAAATTGCTTGTTTTGGTATATATTTGTTTCCATATTTTTGTATTATGCGTAAATAAATATCGTAAAGTCACGTCGTAAATGCATATCGTAAATGGCTGCTGAAGTTTATGACACACAAATGCGTGTCATCTTCATTTATGACAGGGGCTTTAATGAAACACAATGCGTGTCATAAATGCGCGTCGTAAGGTTACGACACGCAAATGCGTGTCGTTTTCCTTTATGACAGGGCCTTCCTTGATACGCATTGTGCGTCGTAAATGAGCGTTGTAACTGCGCGTCGTAAATGTGTGTCGTAAATAGACGACACGCAAAAGCGTGTTGTCTTTCGTTATGACAGGGCCTTCCTTTACACGCATTTGCGTGTCGTCTGAGCGTTTTACCACATGCATTGCTTAAAAATAAAGTCGATAAAGAATGTAATGTGGTTCGCAATAAAGCAAGACTAGCCGTTAAAGGTTATTCTCAACAAGAAGGAATTGATTATGATGAAACCTTTGCTCCTATCGCAACAAAGCAGTAACAAATTTTTCTGGCTTATGCTACTCACAAGAACTATGATGTTTATCAAATGGACGTAATGTGAACATTTATCAATGGTGTACTTGAAGTAACGGTCTATGTTGAGCAACCAATTCATACATATTGAAGTCAAGGCATTACGTGATGTTGCTCATGAGCAACATGAAATTTTTTAGAAGCTTGTGATCTTCCAAAGACTCAATTGAGGCGAAGCTTAAGGAGTTTAGTGATTTGTTTTCGAAAGAAGTGACGAGGTTGGACAAGTTCTATGAGAGCATTAAGGACAAAGTTGATGTTCTTATGAATGCTACTCAAACCTTAATTGAAGATGTGAGTGCCTTCAATAAGGATTATGTTGGTGATTTGAAGCTCAAGAAAGAAACTAACGATAAAGTTTTTTCAATAATTGATAATTCGCTTTCTGGCTTTCATGAGCAATTATCGAAGTTTGGTTTTCCATCATCGACTTTGATTTCTCAAGAGCAAATTTCTTCCATGATTTCTTCAGTGGAGTCATGTTTCAAGATTGAGCTTTCTCCTATTCTTTTTTTTTGGTTCTTCGCTTACCCACCAGTCCTCTACGTCCGTCTACGAACGTGTCACAAGGGGGAGAAAGGGGGTTGGTTCATCGAAAGACAATGAGGATGATAAAGGGAAAATAGTTGGGATGTTAATCTTTACTCATATTCCAACTTCTCTCCCAATGAAATAGATAATGACAACTTCGACAACTACTTATGCTCTAAATGTCGAAGTTGATTTGTCCAAGCTGCAATCAAAGAAAGAGTTGAACATTAGCGAGGGAGGCTCAAGTTCTTCAGCAGCTAAACATGTTACAACTTCTGATCCTAAAAGATAAAGGAAAAGGTGTTCAAGGTGAACCAACGACTGAAGAGAAGAAGAAGCTTCAAGAGCTTGAGTTGGAAAGATTAAGGCAACTAAACAACGTAATGAGGTTAAGACCGAATGATCCACCAAGGCTCAACAAGGGTGACCCCAAAAAAGTATGGTGTTACGAAACGATTGAAAGCGCCGCTTTTGGTGAAGATTATGATTTTGATAAAAGACCAAAGAAAAGCTACACCATTGAAGATTCTGATGTCAATCAAATGGACTTCCCAGTTAATTATTTGATGTTCATCTTTCCTTAGTTCAAGCTTGTTGTGTAACGTCCCAAAATATAAGACCAAAAATTTCATTTTTAGTTCATTCCAAAACATCCAGTAATCATGTCAAAACGATCAAAAGTGTA